AATTTCTTCCCCACAGTTTTTGAAGCGATAAAGATGGGAATTTTCTTTCCTGATGCACGTACAAAGGGCGGCTACTTCTATTTTACCCAAAGCCTAGTACAAAAGATGCATAAGGCTGGACTGAAAGTGGGATAGGATTTTGAAACTACGCGTGATGGGCGAGTATTCGATGTTGTGCTGCGCTATCTCACGCACCAATCCAAGATGTAAGTTCGAACTTTTATCAGACTTTATGTAAGCAGTGACAAACTCGAAGAGATGGGGGACATACTTCGAACAGTCCAGAGGGCAAGTAAACTAGAGCGCCTGTTGTTTCTGCGAGATATATATATATATATATATATATATATATATATATATATATATATATATATATATATATATATATATATATATATATATATATATATATATATATATATGTCACCACTATGCCCGGCCGCATTTACTTTCCCTAACGTGACTCAGGTACCCATCATAGCTGGGTGGACTCATTACCGTTCTGCGGACTTGAACTCGTATACGAACAGAGACTTTCGGGTTAGAAGTCGTATGTTTTGCTACTCGACCACGCTTAAGTCTCTCCTACTACAATGTCACACAACAACGTGGCGTTTCCTTGATCACAGCTTTCTAACAGCATCTGCAGGTTCAAGACCTCGAGCTAAAAACTGATTCAATATCCTGGACATGCTGACCAGGTGGAACAGGTGTACTGACATTTGCATGCAATTTTATGTCATTTAGTTCACTTGATTGATATATTGACTATTTCCTGACATATCCACAACGCTGTACTGTTGCATCAGTGTTAGACTGGAAGTAAGCCTGTGAACATCGACAGAAAACTAGAGAAAAATGCAATGCTCAGAGTTTGATAAGATAATTTAATAAAAAACTACAGCCAAAAATAGAAAAAATCTGTATCTTACAGTTGTAAAATGTCTAACCTGTCTTCTACCTCTTTAGTTTTTTAATTCAATATTGCAATATTTTGAAGTGGATTTATTAGCTTTAAACATTCAAGTGCTATGTTTATTACATTATCGCAATTTTAATGATACGAAATTAAATGATTATTACGATTTTTTATTTAAATTAAATCTTTTGACAAAGAGAGGTAAACCTAGAATTAATTTAACTTTTTAGTCAAGCCTTAGTTACCTCGCTTAAATATATTTTTCTACTGATATTAAAGTATTAACAATGCATCCATACTTTTAAAATTCGGATTAAATATCACTTATTTCAAATCTATTACCATTAAAAAAATTATTCCTATCACCAATTTTAATCATAACTGCTGCTGCAAAGCGAAGAATTTTACTTTTTGATCGTCATGGAAACAAAACGTCAAATTATTTCTTATATACTTTTCTCCTTTTCTCTTGGTATTTTGTTAAGTCGAGAAAAAAGAGATTATAAACATTTTATTATGTGATATTAATAAATTAAAGTCTGTATTTAATTTCTCAAATAAAACAGATTTTTCCCAATTAGAAAAAATTAAGCCAGGTAACTAAAAAGTGAAAACTATTTCATGTTTATAGCCCTTTAACCATATAATTTTTTATCTAATGTTAGTGTTACTTTTAAAAATTCAAAATGGAATAACCATTAGTTAGAAATTGAAAAGTAAATTCTTGATTAATTAATTTAAAAAAAAAAAAACTTGAAATTTTAATTTTTTTTAAAATGTAAAATAATAAATAAAAAAAATTCGGGTAAATAAAAACGGGAAGTAGCTTCAGCATAACTAAAAAGTGTAAAATATTAAATGTTTATGTTCCTTGACCATCAAATTATTGTAATATTTGTTAGTGTTACCTTTAAAATTTAAAAATGGAATAGCCATTTGTTAGAAATTGAAAAGTAACTTCTTCATTAACTCTCTTCGATTGCTGATTTTCTAAAAAAAGGCGAAATTTTGATTTTGTTTTTTCAATTAAAAAAAACAACAAAACATTTCATGTAATTAAAAACGCGAGATAACTTCTGCATAACTACAAAGTGAAAAATATTTCATGTTTATTCCCCTTTGACCATAAAATTATTATTATCTAATGTTAGTGTTACTTTTTAAAAATCGAAATGGAATAGCCATTATTTAGCAATTGAAAAGTAAACTCTCCGTTAATTCTCTTTGATTGCTGATTTTGTCAATTAAAAAAATAAAAAAACGTGAAAATTTGATTTATTTTTTATTAAAAAAAAAGAAAAAAATAATTAAATACACATAAATAAAAACGCGAGATAACATCTGCATTGCTAAAGAGTGAAAAATATTTCATGTTTATTTCCCTTTGACCATAAAATTTATTGTCTATTCTAATGTAAGTTTTACTTTTAGAGATTCTAAATGGAGTAGCCATTAGTTAGAAATTTAAAAGTAAATTCCTCATTATTCTCTTTGATAAAAAAAAAGGAACGCGAAATTTTTATTTTTAAAAATTTTCAATAAAAAAATAAAAGAAAAAATAATTCACGTAAATAAAAACGCGAGATAACTTCTGCATAGCTAAATAGTGAAAAATATTTCATGTTTATTCCCCTTCGACCATATAATTATTATCTTATGTTAGTGTTACCTTAGAAATTCGAAGTTAGAAATTAAAAAGTAAATTCTTCATTAATTATCTTTGCTGATTATTTTCAATAAAAAAAGAAAATTTGATTTTTACTTTCTCGTATATACGAAGTATAGAGAAAGTCTTGTAATCGTTTTACACCTCACTGATACGGAAAAACATAATTTTGCAATCTTGTCCGTATGGCTGTGTGTGTGTGTGTGTGTGTCTGTCTGTCTGTGTGTGTGTAAACACGGTAAGTTGAGTACCGTTACAGCTAGGTTGATGACATTTCATATATAAGTATTTTATCGAAATCGTAGATCCGTATCAATTTTTGAGCGATTTCCAATAACCGGAAGTGGTACTTTTTCTACTTTGAATTTTTCAAAAGCCTATAACTTGAGTACTATTTCAGATAGATAAATGAAATTTCGCATGTAAGTAAAAGATCTAATTATTTACCTTCTGTCAAATTTTTAATAATTTCCGTTGACCGGAAGTACTAATTTACGCTATTTCCGATTTCTCAAAAAACGCATGAAAATTTATAGAGTACTAATAATATTGCGCACTATTATGCACATTTTGTTTTGGCGTTTGCTTAGTGCGCAATTCTTTTTTATACGAGATTCTATTCTATTTTTAAAAGTTTAAGTAATTAAAAATTATGTCTATATTCCGAGTTATATAAGAATATTCGAGAAAGCTTAGGAGAGATCACTCCCGGTTTATTTTGTCAATGCAAAAAAAAAAAAAAAAATTCAGATACATTTTAGTAAAAAAAAAAATTGCGAGATAACTTTTGCATACCTAAGATTGAAAAATATTTCATGTTTATTTACCTTTGACTATAAAATTATTGTTAATTCTGTTGCCTTAAACCACAACATAACGTCTCGGTCTACATCATCAAATAAAAAAATAAAAAGTAATCAGTTATAAAGTCCAACAGATTCCCGTATTTGATAGCTCTACACTACCCTCTACTTGTGTCAGCTTGACCCAGTGAATTGAGCCCAACCCCTATAATTATATATCGATACGAGTGAACGCTCGTATTTTAAAAGGGGTTTATTTTAAAAAAAAATGTTTTACACACGGCAACAATCTTTGTTTGAACCGCAAAAGACAAGCGTTTTATGTATAATAGCCTTCAACGATCGTTGATATTTTTAATAAGAGGAAACACTGTTGAAGTATACATTTTTATACCTTAACATTGTTCCCTCTAATATTTAAAATGCGATTGTTTTAAAGCGGATGTCCATTGGTAAGTTTAAAAAACAAAAAAAACATCATAATTGTGTTGACGGACTTGTGTGTAGAATCACAGACGCTCACAATGCGCGCACAACCTGTGGTCACAATTATTGCATTTCACTAGGTCTTTGTTTTTCCCATCGCCATCACCATCACCATCACCATCACCATCACCATCACCATCAACATCAACATCAACATCAACATCATCATCACCCAGAGCCGTAGCGACCCTTCCCGGCGCCCGGGGACAAACTTTCGATTTGCACCCCCCCTCGAACTTTTCATTTGCACCCCCCATCAAACTTTTGATTTCCACCCCCTAGAACTTTTCATTTGCACCCCCCCCTCAAACTTTCGATTTGCCCCCCCTCCAACTTTTCATTTGCACCCCCCTCAAACTTTCAATTTGGCGCCCCCCCCTAAGGTCGGCGCCCGGGGACATATGTCCCCCCGCCCCCTCGCTACGCCTCTGCCATCACCATCACCATCACCATCACCATCACCATCGGCATCACCATCACTATCACCATCACCATCACCAACACCACCACCAACACCATCACCACCACAATTATTTTCTTGAGAACCTTCATAGATATATTGTTATGGTAATGGTTTTACACTCAGACATCAACTTTTCAGCATCATTTATATTTTCAATTAACAATTTCTTATTCAAGTTATTTTTTCTAGATGTTTATTTATTACCATTCAACGTAATTTGAAAAAAAAAAAATAAATAAAAAAATAAAAAAAAAATTCTTTGCGAAGAATAGGTGAGCTCAGTGGCGTCGCTAGGTCGGGTGTCACGCGGTGCGACACCACTGCACCACATAGTGACACCCCAATCAAAGGAAATGATGTAGGCTATATATATATATATATATATATATATATATATATATATATATATATATATATATATATATATATAGTTGTTGTTGGTGTCACTCCCCCTCCAATTTTTCACACACATTATTTTAACCCATCTATTAATTCAAGTGGAAAAACACCCTTTATATAGTAAATTATTATATATAAATTTACCCCACAGCGGTCATCGATTGAAAATACTGTAATTAATTTAACAAAAAGCACACTTCGTCTATATATTTTGCAATTTTTCTTGGTGTCACCCCCTAAATGGTGTCACCCTGTGCAGTCCGCATTCCCCGCCCCCGCCTCGCGACGCCTCTGGGTGAGCTGATAAAGTGAAAAGTAGATGAGCTTTAAAATAGTATGTCCTGCTTTTCTAAGCAATAAACGTTTGTCTCTCGTGTGTGGAACACATCTAGTTCCTGCCGAGGATGAGAAAAATCTCGCTGTTGACCTTCACCTTGATTGGTTCATCGACAGCTGATTGTTTTTTGTAGGTGGATATCAGTCTGTTGGATGAATGAGAATTTCTATGATAAATTATATACATTAGATTTTTTAAAATATTGATTAGAACAGAAATAAAAGTGATAAAAATTCAGAAAAGAAAAAAAAATTGAATTTTTCAATTAATACAAAACAGAAAAAAATCCATAAATTTAAAAATAAATTAATTAAAAAAATAGATGCGTAGTTTAATTTAATTCATTGCTTAATTTTAAGATAATATACTAAAATATAATTTTCTTTTTCTACAAGGATCAGCTTTTAATTTAAACATCAGAATTATTGAAAATGTAATAAATTTCACTGGCTTTTAAAAAACAAAAATCCTTGCATATTCTTGATATTATCACATCGATTATGTTTTGTACATCTTTATTGAAGAGCTTTTTCTCTCCTTTATTACGACACACCAAATTGCAACCAAACCAAAATAGTAACCACAACGTAACATATTCCAGATAGGCTACACGTTAAGTAATGTCTTTTTAGGGACTACCATCATTACAATTGCTAGAACTTTTGGTACTAAGCTTTACCCAGAAGCGAACAATATTCAATTATTAACACATGTTTAAAAAGTGAGTCTTACTTTTGTTTCATTTCGTCAAGAATATCGCTGTCAGGATTGTCCAGGATATACATATTAACGCAGTGGAAACTGGAGATATATCCAATATACTCATCAACCGTCATCTCTTTTGTAAACTTGATTCCCTCGTATCTGTGGATTGTTAGATAAGATATAGTTAAAGTGCTATGATTTAAAGACATTATGGTAGATACTTCGTAGTAATTGAATTAACACTAAGATTTAAAAATTCAATGCATAATCCAGCATTGATTGGCATTTGTTTCCGTAATTATGATTCACTATACCAAATAAATCTAAGTAACCTTTTAAGCTGAGTTGGTTTTATAAATACTTAAAGCCATATTTAATAAAACGAAGCATAGATATGTAATGAATTATAAATCAAACAGATTTAAAAAAAAACAAAGCAATTTAAATTATCGGTAGTTGTTAAAAATCTAATCCGTTATTTGTTATTTGTAATTTAGACAAAATATTTTAAGTATATTCACGTAATACCTTTTCATTTCTTTAAAAGGGAAGTCCAGTGATTTATATTTGTCGTAAACGACACAAACTTTTGATGTGACGTAGTTTATAAACAGCGTCTTCGTCAGCTATAGTTTGAGAAAAGTTTTATTTGTATCAATATGTGGCATACATTCGAATGTTTGTATGTTATTACGTAATATGTCGTGTTGTTATTTTGTGTCATTTCCCTAAATGTATTAATTTATTCCTAGGGATCTTAATAAAAGAAACTTATCTCCAGATATGAAAAAAAACAACGCTGAATAAACATATTGAAAATTAATATAGGCGTGATGCCCTGCTAATAATATGAGAAATCAAAATTAGAAGTTACATTATTTATTGCTTTTTTCGTATCTAGCAAATATCGATCCCGTGTTTCTTTTTAAAAATTTAACATGTTCTGTACTCAATATGAGAATACCTTTATGCTGAATTAATGACAAAACTAAATGTTAAAAAGCAAATAAAATTAATTACCTCATAAAAGTATGTCTGCCACTCAACATTGTCAATAATGTCACCATTAAAAGTGTACGTGGCAAAAGTCCCACCTGGCTTTAACACACGGGTTACTTCCTTAAGAAATCTGGCCAATAATAGTTTAGCATTGTAATAGAAATACACTAATACACAATAGTGATATACAATAGATATGTATATTTTTACTTTCTCGTGCATACGAAGTATAGAGAAAGTCTTGTAATCGTGCAAAAAAGAAATCGAGATTTTTACAAATCTCGACGTTTTACATCTCACTGATACGGAAAAACATAATTTTGCAATCTTGTCCGTATGTCTGTGTGTGTGTGTGTGTGTCTGTCTGTCTGTGTGTAAACACGATGACTTGAGTACCGTTACAGCTAGGTTGATGAAATTTCATATATAATTATTTTATCAAAATCGTAGATCCGTATCAACTTTTGAGCGATTTCCGAAAAACGGAAGTGGTATTTTTTCTACTTTGAATTTTTCAAAAGCCTATAACTTGAGTATTATTTCAGATAGATAAATGAAATTTCGCAAGTAAGTAAAAGATCTACTTTTCTACCTTCTGTAAAATTTTGAGTTATTTCCGTTGACCGGAATTGCTAATTTACGCTATTTCCGATATCTAAAAAAAAACGCTTGTAAATTTATAAAGTACTAATAATATTGCACACTATTATGCACATTTTGTTTTGGCGTTCGCTTGGTGCGCAATTCTTTTTTATGAGATTCTATTCTATTTTTAAAAGTTTAAGTAATTAAAAATCATGTCTATATTCCAAATTATGTAAGAATATTCGAGAAAGTTTAGGGGAGATCACTCTCGGTTTATTTTAAACATAAATTATTTTAAAAATAAATTTAAATATTTGCACAGCTGTATGCATTTGTGGTCAAATATTATAGGATAATTTAAAGTCATTTTAAAAGAAACAGTTTCTTGCAACCCCAGAATTAACACTGATAGCGAATAAAATTACAAACATATGTAAGCATAACTTATTAAAAAATTACCAATATTTCACAGTTGTTGCAGGTAAAAACGTGGTTAACGTGATATTTAAATAAAAAATGTCAAGTTTTTTTATAAAGCCAATATGTAATGAAAGTAGAGTTTGGACATACTTGGGTTGATCGACCCAGTCTAGAGCGGATGCTATGGTTAAGAGGTCCACCGATCCGTCTTTCAGAAATTTGAGATCCTCTGCAAACGACACGTGAGACTCCAGGTTTGGAACATTTTTCGGCATGTTGTTGATTTGGTCTTCACTCACGTCCGTCCCTATCACCTGAAATAAAAACAGTGGAAACAATGTTAAAATATTCTATTTTGGAAGCATATTAAATATTGGAAAAATTAAAATTAACTATGAGACATTATATAAGTAGCAATAAATCAGTTAAAATAAACAAGTAGAGCAAGTAAAAGATTTCACATATTTAGAAAGAATCGTCAATTATGAAAGTGACTGCACCACTGAAACTAAATCACTGAAGCCAAGCTAGCATTTGCCACAATACAAAAAACATGCGATCGAAAAGAATCTCATGCAAGACCAAATTCAGACTTTAAAAAAATAAAGTTTTAACTTCGTTCTGTTCGTTAGTGAAGCTGGAAAGCAAAAATTGCTAGCATATTGTCACTGGACTATCTCCCAAGTGCCTGCGAAAAATACAATGCATCTTTGGGCACAACGCCATCTCGAATGATAAAAATTGAAATGTAAATCGATTCAGAAGTAATTAGGAAAAGATAACGCTGAATGTTTGGTCTATCAAACATAAGAGCGGATGAGTGGTCTATCAAATATTAGATCGGATGAAAGTGACACAGCAAGAAGAATAAAGACAGGAAAATCTTCAGAAGATGCATAACAGAAAAACTACTGACAAATGCTCAATAGTCTTGGGGTTTGAAAAGAATGGGAGCCGGACGTTTTCTTGTAAGACACTTGCCTGAATGCCGTTTGCCCGAAGACCGATTTCCCAAATGGACACTTGCCCGAATGCGACAAATGCCCGAATGATGAATATATTCTGCATGTCTATAACTAAGCGCAATGAAAAATATCAGCCTCAATAAAAAAAAGTATGTGCAAGTTATAAAATACAAGTATAAAGGTAATAATTATTCGTTACAGTCCATGATTGTTCATAGAAAGTTTTTTATTTGACCCCAGCAAATGAAAGTAATATGTGGTAAGCACTACAATTTAGTCAAATGCTTCCCACAGACTCGAGAGAAGACCTCGTAAGTGAGTAGTCCACTACACATTTACATGCCAGCGCCGGTCTACAAGAACATACAAAACATAATTGAATAACAATAATTATCATTAAAATTAAAAAAAAAACCCACGTTTTCTGATTGAACTAAAAAGTAGAAAATAAATGCTATACATCACAATAATGCAAGCGATCACTCTACTATAAGCGATCGCAAACTGCGTGCGCATTATGACAAAAAATGAAAAACGTGGGGCGCCGAAGTAAATTTTTTTTATCGGTCATTGTTAATATCAGATGTAAAAGTTATATTACTATTGATTAGATAATACTATTGAGTTTTATTAGGGAGCTTGTATAGAGTCAACAGTATTAGAAACTGTAAGAGAACCACGGCGCCCCACGTTTTCATTTTTTGTCATAATGCGCACGCAGTTTACGATCGCTTATAGTAGAGTGATCGCGTGCATTATTGTGATGTATAGCATTTATTTTCTACTTTTTAGTTCAATCAGAAAACGTGGTTTTTTTTTTAATTTTTAATGATAATTATTTTCTACTTTTTAGTCTTTGTCTGTTTGTTTGCATTCAAATCTTGCTATCGATTTTATCTTCTCGCATTCACTTTTTTTTTAATAAACGAAGACAACTTGTAAAAAACACGTGCCTTTTCCAATCGAAGTTTCTTCTGTGTTGCCGTCGCTTTCACCATTTTGCCCTCGCGTGCAAACCATTCGACCATCAACATTCTACTTCCTGATCAGTCAGATTTGCAAAGGTTTGTACACAAACACCGCGTGACCACTACTCAGCCAATCGCGTGCTTGCTCCTTCAGTAAGCCAGAAGAGGGAAAGTACCGAACCTTGTTTTATCAAATTACAATTACTAGGTTATCTCCTTTTTTTTGTACAAATCGATAGGGGTCTAAAATGATCAATATAATATTTCCATGGATCAATTTAGTAAAATTAATAATTGAATATTATATTGTCATCGGAAACTAAGCTTCCCTGAAAATTTCAGCGCGCTAGCTAACTGGGAAGTGCCCGAAATTTCGATCGCAAGATTTGATTGGAAAAACAAACAAACAAAGAGACGCGAAAGCAAGTTAAAGAAAACGTGGGAAAATAACTGAAGTTTAGGAACCTTTTTGAAGTATTTCGTCAAGGGCAGAGTACCCTGTCCAGTCCCACAACCAACATCAACAGCGAGTTGTCTCTCATTCTTCGGGTTCTCCGAGTGGTAGGCCATGATCTTGTCGTAGATCTCTTGTGGATATTGGGGCCTGTAGGCCGCGTACATCTTAGAGAAGTGCTCTCCCTTGTGGAGTTCATGGATCAGATTATCGTACTTGGTCGGCGTGTTCTGTACAATACAGAAAAAAATTATTTTAAACAAGTGTTTTGCTGTTTACTACCTATAATTTTTTTTACATCATAGTCAGTAGAAGAATCATGTTTTGGACTGCTTAGCGTTATTTATTATATAGTCTATAACCTAAGTAGGTAGGCGAAAATAATTTAAACATACTATTTCATCTACTAATCCTTACCTTAACAGCTTTTAAAAACTCTTCAATTTGTGGCATTTTATCCATTTTGTTGTTTATACGTTTTCCGTATGATCAGCTAAATTCAAGTTTTCTTTTGAAATTGACGCTAACCCAACAGCGACGAGTCCCACAAAACCAACAACACAACTCCCAAAAACCCAAACACAACACAACCGTGTGTCACGTGGATTTATATCGAACTTTTTATTGGCCCCTTCATCACATGGCACGTGTAATTTAATAACCTCCAAACGACATGTGACATATTAAATTTACATAAATACTATTAAGTTGTATCTATTTAATAAGCTGTAGAAGTGCATTAGATTGCATTAGATGCCGCAATGTATATCGAGGGGAATAGGGTACCTTTACCCATTTACGTGGAGAATTACCAATATTTAAAACAGGTTACAGCAACTTAATAGGTTGTGGCGTAAGGTGAGAGGGCCTGCAGCCACTCAATATGGTAGTATGTGACCACTGAATGAATTAAATACAGTTTACAAGCTTTACAAAAGTAGTGCGCTACTACATAATTTTATATTCGCCCCTTTAAAAACTTCCCATAGTTATGAGTTCCAAATAAGGAAAAATATTTTTCTGCATAAGAGAAAACGTTAGAAAGAAAAATGTTAGAGAGAAGGAGAAAAAGAGACAGGAAGGACATAGAGAAAGAACGAGTGAGAAAAAATGTGATAGCAACATAAAGAGGTTGTCATGGTGTATGCGATTATTGTTGCTGTGATCACTTAGTCGTAAGCGGTCTTTGGTGTTATAGTCAATTTTATTGTGTGTGCTTTGTTGATGTGGTCACTTTGTTGTGTGCGGTCTTTGTTGGTGTGGACACTTTGTTGTGTGCGGTCTTTGTTGGCGTGGTCACTTTGTTGTGAGTTGTCTGTGTTGGTGTGGTCACTTTGTTGTGAGTTTTCTTTGTTGGTGTGGTCACTTTGTTGTGAGTTTTCTTTGTTGATGTAGTCACTTTATTGTAAGTGATCTTTGATTTTGTCGTCAATTTTGTTGTATGCGCTCATGTTGTCACAACAACATGGTCTTCACGGTAAGTTTGTTGTAGCCAGTCTTTGTTGATGTGGCTTTTTTTTTTGTTATATACGGTGTTTCTTGGATTGTCAAATCTGTTGTATGTGACAAAATCCTTTGTTGTATACAAACTTTTTGTTCTATTTTTATTGTCGTGGTTATTTTGTTGTATTAGAAATTCTAAAGCACCCTTTTATAATGTTTCGAATATTTACTTTGAAATGCAATAGTTTAATCCACACACAATAAATGACATGTATTTATGTCATTTTTTAAATTTCTTGAAAGGTGACGGGGACATGTTCGGATTTTAATTTAGATTATTATTATTGGCATTTTGGAACCCTCTTAGATGCATTACGAAGCAAAAAGTATTTTATGCCACTGTGTAAAATACAGTTAACGGTACGTCTTCAACATCGTCTAGTAATGGGTTTATTCTATAGTTTTATCACTAATGCGAAGGCAAGATCAAGACTACATTTTGATGTAGTTTTCGGTGATGGAATCGATAACGATAATTAAGCCTGGTAAATTGATGTTAGTCCTAATATTTAATTACACTCAACAGCAGCTAACGTATTTTCAAATTATTCGGTTTAGGCTGATTACACGTCAGCCCGATTAAAGTAAGTGCCCCATATCAATCAATTAATGCCATAACTTCTAGTTTTGTAATTTTATCCGCGGCGTGTGAATTGATCTTCAAACAACCATTAGCCAGCATATGTTGTCATGGAGTATTTTAAGAACAGGAGTACAGTCAACATTTTAGGGATCTTTTTCATTTTCATATCAGGCGGCGTGGTTGGATAGTAAACTGCTAACCCGCAAGTCTCGAGTTCCCAGGCCCGAGTCAGTAGGGCGTTTCTGAGCCCCACAGTGCTGACCACACTATAACTTTATATGCCAATGTCATAGACAAAGGGGAAATCTATTTCTTCTGCCCCATCAGCGAATATGTAACTTTAATTTTTATTTTGATAAATGTTTAGAATCTATCATTTATAAAAACCAGCAGCTAAACAACATAACAACAACAATTATTGTATTTACACATCACTTTTAGACATCAGACTGAAAGATGACACGTTTATAATATTTTCATATCTAGGAAGATGTTGACAGAATTAATAATTATTTTCACAGACATTGAAATGGCAGCTATGGGAGAATTTCTAAAACAATTTCCTGAAGTTTGAACTGCATTCAACTACTTCCATCTCGCCATAAACCTCCATTCAAAAGATAAAGAACGATATATTTGTCGCTACTCTATCCAGGCCAAATTGTTACAGAAGTGTTCCAACAATTAACTTTCAAATTCAGATTTTATTCCAACAGTGAACAACATCAGCACGGTACTGACATACTTGGAGCACAATAACACCGTGATCGTTACAACCGTGATCTTGTAGACAAATACAGGCCTACTTTATTTCTAATTAGAATCAAATTCGGACTTTAGTGATTATGTAGCATCACTGTTTACGTTCTCCCCTACAAAGTAGTCACACAACAATGTGACATTTTCTTGACGGTCTGTAGTTGGGCTACACAAGTGGAAGACAAACTTTCAATCATTATATGGCAGAGTCGTCAAACAATAAAACTAAAAATGAAGAATTGATTTTCAAAATGCAATATATCCAAAATTTGGGTTTTGAGAAAATCGCACATTTCTCCTACACAAAGCCATTGTACATTATGCTAAAACTGTTTATCAATTTAGGTACATAACCCTCATATAAATAGGACTAGAATAGGTTTTGAAATGGATCTGTATAAAAAGATGCTTATTTTTGGTCCAAAATTTGCGTGTCGTTGCAAAATGATGTATATCCAGCTTTGCTAAGCTACAAAACGCTGTAGGGCTATATCCATTTTGTTTCTGATAACACATCTGACGTCCAATATTTGAGTTTTATTTATTATTATTTTTATTAAGACCCACTTATATTCCCAGTGTTACCATCTTACTACAATTGTACCATGTTTTTCTGTTACTTTAAAGTGTTTTAGTAAGTAATTTCAGTTATTTGAAACATTTTCAAAATGATGCAAGTTTTAACGAGAGACTTTAATTTGAAGAGTACAGCTTGTATTTTCTACTATTGAACTGTGTTAACAAAGTCTAAAGAAATAAAAAAAAGTCAACATAAAATTGTTTAAATAGAAGAAAAAAAGTTTATTAGTTTATACAACAATTATAAAATGTAAAAGAAAAAGTATGAAATGAAAAAAAAAAGTTTGAAAACAAAAATGAGTGTAAAATAAAATGAGTGATGCAAGAAAAAAAAAATAATTCAGACAAACTATGCACTATCTACATCAGAAACTTTCATATTTGAAGCATGTAATTAAGTCTAAGGTATTAAAAAAAGATGAAATACATTACTTTTAAAATGAAAAAAACATCGTAATGGTGGCGTGAAAAGTAGTTTTCAACTTTGAAATTGACAATAAAATTAAAAAATAGGTCCAAATATTCTAAAACAGTTTGTTTATTGAATAACAGTCTAATTCCTCCCGAGGATTAGGATGATCTCACTGTTGCTCTTCACCTTTATTGGTCCATTGACAGCTGATTGTGTTTCATAAGTCAATATTAGTCTGTGAGGAGTAATCAAAACAACAAAATATTACACACAATTAAAACAAAAAAAAAAGAATAAAGATAAAATTAAAAAAAAAAAGAAATAAAAAAACAACAACAACCAAACAAAAAAAAAAACAATAAAACAACACAAATTACAAATACAACATTGCAGAAACTGTTAACAAGTAGAACATGACATAGATTTAAAAAATATAAAAACATACTGAAATAAATAAAATATCGAAATAGAGATATGCAAAAAAATATATGCAAAAATAGAACTTTAGTCTTTTGGATAGTACAATTATGAGAAACTAAAACCTTATTATAACTATAGATTATACTGCTTAATTATACAGCTAGCGGTGGTGTTAGGAATTATAGTTTCGTATCCAACTGTACTAAAAATATTTTACAGTTTATAACAATGCATGAATGGACTGAACACACGATTAGAAAAGACACTGTCGATATAGACAAAGGCCTTGGAATTGAACTCCTAATACAAACGACGCAGATGCCGACTCAGGAAGACATGGCGGCGTATCGTGCTGGAAGAAACTGTACGGATAAGAAGGAATTGGAAACAGCTGAAAAGAGTGTTAGGACACCGTGGGCAGGGAAAAAAATGACAGAAACTCTAAGCTCCACAAGGAAAGAAAAAAAAGAAAAATGACTATAATGAACAATGCATACAATACCTAGATATTTTTTTTTATAGCTTTTTGAGTTATATAAATTTACTGTATTCCATAGCTTAACTTTTTTAACGACACGAGAATTATCAATTCGACATAGACGTTTTAACAGAGGCAGGTCATGGCACCATTATTGTTATAATTATTAAAACATTTGGTTCCACCATAAATAGCGAAAAGCTTATTCGTATTTAACCCAAATTTAAGAGTTCTTACTTTTGTTTCATTTCATTGAGAATGTCCGTATCCGGGTTGTCCATGATGTACATGTTGACGTAGTGGATGCTGGTCAGAAATCCCATATATTCGTCAACTGTCATCTCTCTTGTGTCCTTGATACCTTCGCATCTGATTGTTAAATGAAAGAATTAAAAAAAAAGTTGTAAAAAAATTTCCCAATATTTAAAAACATTTTTTAAATCGAACTGTTTTATGGTTTTGGGTTACAACTGAAGATTTAACCATTCATTATGCAGGTTACAACTGATTTCTACTAGTTATTATTAGAGTGCGAGGCAAGTTCATTAATGTAAACATGCTCATTGATAGAAAAGCAGAAATGAGGAAAGTAGTTTTGATTTCTTGCTATTTGAAGCAAATTTTGGTCGAAGAACAATGAGCTAAATTGTAGAACATAAATTATCTTTTTGTATTCAATATATATATATGCGATCTTTAGTAGAGGCTAATTAAAATCACTGATTTTATTTCTAAATCAGAAGTTCTAATTATTTTTTTTTTAATAATCTGAAAGACATAAGGCTTTCATCCTATATTCACGTGAATTAAAATACAATCAAACTATAAGCTTTGTTGTTAATTTAATTTAAATAAAGTGATAACTGTATATTACCTTTTCAAGTGCTTAAAAGGGAATTCCAGGGATTCATATTTGTCGAAAATGTGATGAACCTTTGATGTGACGTAGTTTACAAACAATGTCTTCGTCAGCTGTTAATTCATTTAAACAATATTTAATTAGTGATGCTTCGCATTAAGTAGGAAACACTTTGAAAATAAAATAAATAAAGCAGACTATTTATTCATGACTAACATGTTTACTATTAGTGAAAGTACTGATCCTTCTTTTTGTTAAATTTTGTGAAACATTAAGCCTAAATTTTGTTTCGGACCAGTTGTAATTAACTTGTATATAGTATAAATAAAAACGTGAGGGAGGTAATTCGATTGCACTAATGGTGTTACGGTCAACTTTCAATTTAATGTTGGAACCAAGTATAACACAAATGAAAACAGTTCAAATGTAATAGTAAAATATAATTTCCAACTTCTACAGAGGAACACAGGTAACATTCAAACCAAAAACACTCCTACTTGCTATGCTCGGGTTACACTCTACACACACCGCTTACACACTACCGTTCACACACTTCTAAGGGGAGGCCGCTCTCACACCGAATCTCTCCGTGCCTACACTCTTTCGTTATGAACATCTCGGCCACGTTACAGATGGTAATTTGTCTTTTTTTTTAAATTAGAGAAAATAACATAAATCAGCTTAAAGTATGTGTTTACTGAACATAATACACTAATGAGGCTTGTTATCAAGTTTCCTGAAATAAGTTTACACAATGAGTCTTGATGTTCACTTTGGCAGAGTTGGTATTTAAGTCCCTATTTTGGAACTAATACTAGACTCATTAAAAAAAATTCTTTCCATTACCTATTAGATTCTGTGTAATTCTTTTCTAATAAGGTTGATACCAGATTCATCTATCTAGTTCTTAAAATTAAATCTTTGATTTACTTTACCCTTTCTTTCAATATTATAGGGTTCCTATATTTTTTCATACTTGTCCGATAAAAGCTAACCAGAAAGTTCGAATCCGGGTTCAGGTAAGTAAAACGTCACTCAGTCCACCGTTCTCTAATAGGTAACTAACTCACGTTAGGCAAAAAGTAAATTCTTCTTGGCATATTATTGACCACAATTTCCCTTCATATGCTGAAGTCACAGACACAGGTAAACTCTATTTCACTTATCCCACAGACCGTCAGGTTCAAAAGGGGAGATTTTTTTCTGAATCTAATGAAAGTAAATATTATCAATCTGAAGCATATCATGTTAAATAAAAAGAACAGAGGTAAAACGGATCACCTCTAAGAAGTGCGCTTGCCACTCAGTGTTGTCTATAGCATCACTGCAGAAGGTGTAGGCGGCAAAAGTCCCACCTGGCTTTAACACTCGTGCTACTTCCTTAAAAAACCTGCCAAAATATTTTTTTAGTATTCAATCATGGATAGGATTACATACATAAACGAATGTAAAATATTGGATAAATTTTTTTTTAAAATAATTAAATAAAATAATTTTACAAAAAAAAAAAAGCCAGCCAGCAAACAAAACAACAATAGCAACAAAAGAAAAACAAAACAACAACGCTTGGTCTAGTGGTCGAGTTCGAATCCGGTTTCAAATCAGTACAACGTTACTGAGTCCCCCCTCCCCTTCGCTCTGATGGGGAAGTAAAGACATAGCGCGGACAACATTATCCCTTCATATGCCGATGTCATAGAAACAGATGAACTGTACTTCACTTGGCCGACCGCCCGACGGACTTTTACAAAAAAAAAAAATATTTAAAAAAATTAAGAAAATAAGACTGACATTATATATAGTAGTCTAAACATTTTAGTAGTCTAAACAGATGTTGATGGTTTTCGTACTGTGCCATTTTAAATGTTCATTTCAAAGCGCTGCTTGGTGGTCGTAATAAAAAAAATGTTTTGGGTTTTTGGGTTTGTAACCGATTGTAACTATGTTTTATATTTTGTTTACTGTACCAATGACATTAATAGTATGAAGTTTTATCGCATTAAATTTTAATTAGGATGACCGTTTTTATAATGTAGGTTACAGTTATTCAAGCTATTTAATACGCAGCTTGTGATGCTAGTGGCGTTCGATCGTACTTGGGATGATCCACCCAGTGGAGAGCTGTTGCTATGGTTACTAGGTCCACAGTTCCGTCTTTCAGAAATTTGAGATCCTCTGCAAACGACACGTGAGACTCCAGGTTTGGAACATTTTTCGGCATGTTGTTGATTTGGTCTTCACTCACGTCCGTCCCTATCACCTGGAATAAAAACAGTGAAAACAATGTTAAAATATTCCATTGCTAAATGGAATGGAAGCATTTTAAATATTAAGAAAATTAAAACTAACTATGAAACATTATATAATTAGCAATTAGTTAATTGAAATAAACAAACAATTAGAGGAGGTTAAAGATTTCACATATAGAGACAGAATCGTCAATTTTAAATGTGACTGCACATGAGTATCTCATGTCAGACAAAATTCAGCAACAATCGCTAGCATATTGTCACTGGACTATCTCTCAAGTGCCTGCGAAAGATACAAGAATCTTTAGGCCGAACACCATCTCCAATGATAAAAATGTACTTAAAGACGTTGATTAGCAATTTACTGCCTAGCTACAAAGCAAAACAAAGCTTCCCCGACAAAAACAAAAAAATGAATAAAACATTACAATAGTCTGGGAACCTTTTTGAAGTATTTAGTCAAGGGCAGAGTACCCTGTCCAGTCCCACAACCAACATCAACAGCGAGTTGTCTCTCGTTGTTCGGGTTCTCCGAGTGGTATGCCATGATCTTGTCGTAGATCTCTTGTGGGTATTGGGGCCTGTAGGCCGCGTACATCTTAGAGAAGTGCTCTCCCTTGTGGAGTTCATGGATCCGATTATCGTACTTGGTCGGCGTATTCTATACAACACAAAGAAACATATTTTTAAACAGTAATTTTGCTGTTTACTACTAATAATGTTTTGAACACCTTAGTTAGTAGTAGAACATTGGTTTTGAGCTTCTGAGTGTTATTTAATTATATAGTCTATAACCTAAGTAGGTAGGCTATTTCATCTACTAATCCTTACCTTAACAACTTTTAAAACATCTTCTATTTGTGGGATTTTATCCATTTTTTCGTTACAGTTTCCGTATGATCAGCTTACTTCAACCGTTTTTTTTAAATTGACTCTAAACCAACAATTACTAGAGTCCCACAAAACCAACCACAAAATTCCCAACATCCAAACACAACATAACCGTGGGCCATGTGGATTTATATCGAGCTTTTTATTGGCCCCTTCATCACAAGGCTCGTGTAATTTAATAACCTCCAAATGGCATGTGACAAATTTAATTTACATAAATACTATTAAGTTATATCTATTTAATACGCTGTTGAAGTGCATTAGATTGCATGAGATACCGCAATGTATATCGAGGGGAATAAGGTACGTATTCCTATTTGCGTGGAGATTAACCAATATTTAAAACAGGTTACAGCAACTTAATAAGCTGTAGCGTAATGTGAGAGGGCCAGCAGCCACTCAACATGGTAGTATGTGACCATAGAATTTATTAAATACAGTATATAAACTTTACAAAAGTAGTACGCTACTATACAATGTTATACAGTAGTGTAGCGAGGGGGGGGGGGGGGGGGCGGGGGTGCGGACTGCACCGGTGACACCATTTAGGGGGGTGACACCAAGGCGAAAAATAGTTAAAAAAATGATAATTCCTCTTAATTAAGTGATTAATTCGAGTGATTAATTCGAGTGTGGGGGGGGGGGGGTGCAAATCGAAAACTGAAAGTTTGACACCCGACCTCGCTACGCCACTGATGTTATATTCGCCGCTTTGTTATGAGTTCCAATAAAGTAATTATTTATCTAAGGGACATTACTGTGCAAGTTTTCTGTATAAGAAAAAATGAGAAAATTAGAGAGAAGGAGAAAGAGAGGCACAAATGACAGAGAGAGAGAGAGAGAGAGAGAGAGAGAGAGAGAGAGAGAGAGAGAGAGAGAGAGAGGTAGAGAGGGAGAGAGAGAGAACGAATGAGAAAAAATGAGATAGTAACATAAACAGGTTGATATGGTGCTGAATGCGGTTGTTGTTGGTATAGTCACTTTGTTGTAAGCGGTCTTCGGTGTTGTCAATTTTGTTGTATGCGCTCATGTTGTCACGGCAAATTGGTCGTCACGGTAAGTTTGTTGTAGCCAGTCTTTGTTGGTGTGGCTTTTTTGTTATATACGGTGTTTCTTGGATTGTCAAATTTGGTGTCTGTGACGTGATCCTATGATGTATACAAACTTTGTTACTGTGACAATTATGGCGTGTATTGTTTTTATTTTCGTGGTTACTTTGGTGTATACTGTATACGTAATTCTGTGCACCCCTTAATAATGTTTCGAATATTTATTTTGAAATTCAATAGTTTAATCCACACTCGAGGGCATACAAACGTATTAAGATAACAATCAATAACATGCAGTTATGTCATTTTGTTATTTCTTGAAAGGGGAGGGGGGGGGCGTGTTCGAAGTGTTATTTAGGTTATTATTGCCATTTTGAAACCCATCCAGATGTTTTACGAGGTAAAATTCGAAGTAAAATACCTGTTAACGGTACGTCTTCGTCATAGTCTAGTAATTAGTTTATTCTATAGTTTTATCACTATCGCGAAGGTAAGATCAAGACTAATTTTAATGTAGTTTACGGTGATGGAATCGATACGAATAATTAGGTCTATTTAATTGATGTTAGTCCTATTATTTAATTACACGCAACCGCAGTTAACTTATTTTCTAACTTTTCGGTTTAGTTCGATTGCACGTCAGCCGGATTAAAACTGGTGCCCCATATCAATCGATTAATGTCATAACCTCTAGTTTTGTAATTTTATCCGCGGCGTTTGAATTGATCTTCAAACAACCATTAGCCAGCATCTGTCGTCATAGAGTATTAAATTAAGAACGGACGTACAGTCAACATTTTAGGGCTCTTATATCATTTTGGTATGGGACGGCGTGGTCGGATAGTAAACTGCTAACCCGCAAGTCTCGGATCCCAGTCACGAAGAACTCCTCTAATTCCACCCAATGTTGATCACACTATTTCTTCATATGCCCCATCAGCTTTAGGTTCGAAAGTATAACTTAATTTTCATTTTGCTAAATATTAAGAATCCATATTTTATTAAAAAAGCAAAAAAAAAAAAAAAAAAAAAAAAAAAAAAAAAAAAAAAAAAAAAAAAAAAACAAAAATAAAAAAAAACAAAAATAAAAACAACAACAAAAAAAAAACAACTAAAAAAAACAAATCAACAAATAAACGACAACCAAAAACACAAACCAACAAACAATTATTGTATTTACAGTTCACATTTTCAATATCAGAATGAATGATGACACGTTTATCATCTTTTCATTTCTAGGATATTATACATTTAATTTTGTTGGCAGAATTAATAAGTCTTCGCATCGATATGGAAAACATCGTAATGTTAGTACTGCATGCTTTTACTGACATCTCACTAAATTGACCAAAAGCGTCATTCATAAGGTAGGCGATTTTCCACTGTAAGGAGAATATAAAACCAGTTACGAGATACTTATAGAGTTTTGCTTTCTTGCTACTCTATCCAGACCAAGTTGTTACAGGAGTGTTCAAACAAATAACTTTCAAATTCAGATTTTATTCCAACAGTGAACATCAGCACGGTGCTGACATACTTGGAGCACAATAACACCGTGATCGTTACAACCGTGATTGTGTACACAAATAAAGGTCTGCTTTATTTCTAATTAGAATTTGGAATCAAACACATAATGTGTGGATTATGTAGCATCACTGTTTACGTTCTCCCCTACAAAGTAGTCACTCAAGAATGCCCCCCACGATCAAGCTGGGTACCAGGCGGTAGGACGACTTCCCGCGTCTGGTGGGTGGGGAAGGAAAGCCCGGCGAGAGCCGACGGAAAAGCGACCGAGGTGTGGAAAACTCTCTCGGGGTTTGCCACACTAAGGCCTGCCTGGCTAATGGAAGTGAACCTTCTGAGCCGGTTTCCGTATAAGGAAGGAAGGAAGTAGTCACTCAACAATGTGGCTTTTTCTTAACGGTCTGTATTTGGGCTACACAAGGAGAACACAAGCGACAACTTTCCATTAAGGTGTGGCAGGATCAAACCATTAAACTAAAAATACCGTTTGTTATTTGGACATCCTTTCTCCCTTTATTTAAGTTAATGCGTTAGAATTTTATGGTTTTCTTTGTTTCGAAGTTTATTTATTTTATATTTAAATTAAACTGAAATCCAGGTTTACACACAAGATATTAATTTTAGATAAACCACTAAAGAGGGCGTTCAGTTAGAATATCAAACAATACAGTTGTTTTAAAGTACAGGTACTGACCAACTCATTCAATTCAAAATGCAACAAAAATAGACGTACAATAATTAAAATCAGTGTGGAACTCACCAGCAGAAGTGGACAAAGAAAATGCATAGAAAAGATGTAAAATAATTTTTTCAAATACGCCTCAGAATCATGGAAAGGAAGCAATTCGTCTACATAAAAGATAGAGATTTTAATAAGCAAAAATGTAAAGCGCCATTTGAAAAATACTCTGGCTTAGTACTTGCACTCGCCTGTGTATACAAACACTAGCTATTAAGGTACGTTTTTTATTCACAAATTTATTACATGCATTAGTAAACAGCCAAACCAAGACTAACACAAATACAGGTACAGCTTTTCTTGGCAATAACAAATGATGTTAAGTTTCCTAAAATAATATTAACATTTTCCCTAATAAAATAAATAAATCATTTCCAATTAACAACTGTACTATTGCCTATAATAGAAACATCCTCTCAATAGCTGGGGTGTCTCCTCTTAAGCCACAAATTTTAAAGAATTTTTTAAAAATGTTAAATGAATGCTGAAAGCTGAAGATACATTAATATATAAATATAGAATCCGCATAGGTTTCAATCATTCATTAAATGTGTATTTAATATTAATTAGCTTTTAGTAAAATAGAAAAACATTGTTTCGAAAATATATATTCACCAACATTTCGCTTTGTTTCTTTTTCGCTTTGTGTGTATACAGACATTTAAAAAAAAAATTCAATGAGCACTTCTCAACGAGACGAATGCTTACGAAAAATATAATTAAAACTATCCTATTTGAAGCATGTAATTAAAACCAAATTCTAAAAACAAGTTAGAATGCATTGTTTTTAAAATAAAAATAAACGTAATGCTGGCATAAAAGCGGGTTTCAACTTTTATATAAAGAATATACTTTAAAAATATGTCCAAATATGCTAGAAAACTTGTTTATTGAATAACAGTCTAATTTCTGCCGAGGATTAGGATTATCTCACTGTTGCTCTTCACCTTGATTGGTCCATTGACAGCTGATTGTTTTTCGTAAGTCGATATTAGTCTGTGAGGAGTTATCAAAACAACAAAATATTACACACTTTTAAAACAAAAAATGATTAAAATATAAAATTAATAAACAACAATAAAAAAAATACAAATACATCATTACAGAAATTCAATAAAAATAGGAAAACCAGAATTAAATAAAATAGCATCTCAATTGAGATAGGCAAAAGAAATGCAAAAATAGAACGTTAGTCTCTTTAGTAGTGCAATTATGAGAAACTAAAACCTTATTTTAACTATAGATTATAATGCTGAATTAAATAGCGAGCAGTGTTTTAATGAATTATGATTTCGTCTCCTAATGTACTGAAACAATTATTTTACATTTTATAACAATGCATGAATGGATTGAACACATGATTAGAAAAGACACGGACTATAGAGACAAAGGTCTTGGAATTGAAATCCCAATACAAACGCCGCAGATGCCGACTCAGGAAGACATGACACAAGGTAGTATGCTGGAAGAAATTGTACAGATGAGAAGGAATTGGAAACAGCTGAAAAGAGTGTTAGGACACCGTGGACAGGGAAAATATTTGACAGAAGCTCTAATCTCCACAAGGAATGAAAAAAAAAAGAAAAATGACAAAGATAATGAACAATGCATGCAATACCTAGATATTTTAAAACCCTTTTGAGTTATATAAATTAACCGAATTCCATATCTTAGCTTTTTTAACGACGCGAGAATTATCAATTGGACATAAACGTTTTTACAGAGGCCGTTCATGGCTCCATTATTGTTATAATCAAGGGCGTAGCGAGGGGGGCAGGGGGTGCGGACTGCACCGGGTGACACCATTTAGGGGGGTGACACCAAGGAAAAAAATAGCAAAATATAGAGAGAAAAACTTGAGGGGGGGGGTGCAAATCGAAAGTTTGAGGGGGGGGGGTGCAAATCGAAAACTTGAAAGTTTGTCCCCGGGAAGGGTCGCGACGCCTCTGTGGGGGGGGGGGGGGGGGGGTGACACCATTAAGTGCCGCACCGGGTGACACCCGACCTCGCTACGCCACTGGTTATAATTATTCCACCATAAATAGCAACGAAGCTTATTCGTATTGAACCCAACGTTAAGAGGACTTACTTTTGTTTCATTTCATTGAGAATGTCCGTGTCAGGGTTGTCCATGAGATACATGTTGACGTAGTGGATGCTGGTTAGAAATCCCATATATTCGTCAACTGTCATCTCTCTTGTGTCCTTGATACCCTCGTATCTGATTGTTAAGTGTAAGAATTTAAAAAAAAATGAAAGAAAATTCACAGTATTTAAAACATTTTTAAAAATCAAACTGTGATATGGTTTTGGATTTCCAATGAAGATTTAACAATTTATTATGCAGGTTACAACTGATTTCTACTAGGTATTATTACATATATTATTCCAAAGTTTATTAATGTAAAAAAAATCTCATTGATTAAAAACTTGAAATGCGGAAAATAGTTTACTTTTTTCTTTTTATTTGAAGGAAATTTGTGTTTAAGAACACTGAGTTATATTATAGAACAAAGTTGTTTTTTAAATTCAAAACATAGCTTCCCATCTTTAGTAATTAGAATAACTGATTTTATTTCTAAAAAAGATTTTTTAATTACTTTTTTTTAATTTGATAGACGTGAGCTTATCATTCTATATTCACGTGAATTAAAATACACTGAGCTATATTGTAGAACAAAAATTATCTTTTAAAAAATTCAAAACAAAGCATGCGATCCTTAAAAACAAATCATATATTCTAATTATTGTTTTTTTTTAAATTTGTTAGACATAAGGCTGCTTTCATTCTATATTCACGTTAATTAAAATACAATTAAACTATAAGCTCTGTTGTTAATTTACTTTAAATAAAGTGATAACTGTATATTACCTTTTCAAGTTCTTAAAAGGGAAATCCAGGGATTCATATTTGTCGAAAACGTGACGAACCTTCGATGTGACGTAGTTTATAAACAATGTCTTCGTCAGCTGTTAATTCATTTAAACAATATTTAATTAGTGATGCTTCGTATTATGTAGGAAACACTTTGAAAATAAGATACATTAAGCTGACTATTTTTTTCATGATTTACATGTTTACTATAAATGAAAGTACTGATCTGTACTCCTAATTAATTATTTAAACATTTAGCCTAAATTTGGCTGCAGACTAGTTGTAATTAAGTTTATATTGTATAAATAGATACGTAAGGGAGGCAATTCGATTGCATTGATGGTAATTGGTATTTTTTTTTTAAAGAGAGTGCAGAAATAAGATTCAACTATTTGTTTACTGTACATAGTTCATCTATTAATCGTACTATCAGGCTAGTTATACATTTCTGGAAATAAGATTACGCCGTCAGCCTTGATGTTCAATCTAGCAGAGTTGGTATTTTAGACATCGGCATACAAAGTGTTAATTTGGTCAGTTCCTTGCCCGGGGTTCAAACTCGACTCCGTTATTGAACTAATACTGGACTCAGTTGAAAAAAAAAATCTTTTAAGTATTAGATTCCGTGTAATTTTTTCTAATTAAATTTGATATAACATCCATCTTTCTACTTCTTCAAACTGAATCTTCGATTTATTTTACACTTCCCTTCAATCTTATAATGGTACTGTTTTTTTCTTTAATACTTGTCTGATAAATGCTAACCCGAAAGTTTGAATCCGGGTTCAGATCAGTAGAACGTCCCTGAGTCCACCCAGCTCTAATGGGTACCTAACTCACGTTAGGAAAAGTAAATTGATCTTGGTATGCTGTTGACCACAATTTCCCTTCATATGCTGAGGTCACAGAAACAGGTGAACTTATTTCACTTATCCCACAGACCGTTAGGTTCGAAGAGGGAACTTTAATTTTACTGAATCTAATATAAGTAAATATAATCATATAAAATAGAACAGAGTTAAAACGGATCACCTCAAGGAGGTGCGCTTGCCACTCAGTGCTGTCTATAGCATAACTGCAGAAGGTGTAGGCGGCAAAAGTCCCACCTGGCTTTAACACTCTTGCTACTTCCTTAAAATACCTGGCGGAATATTTTTTAGTAATCATTCATGGATAGGATTACATACTTAAACGAATGTAAAATATTGGATGAAAAATTTTAAAACATATTTAAATAAAATAATTTTACAAAAAAAAAAGCCAAAAGCCATCCAGCTAACAAAACAACAATAGCAACAAAACTTGGTCTAGCGGTCGAGTTCGAATCCGGTTTCAAATCAGTACAATGCTAATGAGTCCACCCAGTGCTAATGGGAAAGTAAAGGCATAGCGCCGACAACACTATCCCTTCATATAGGCCTACCGATATCATAGAAACAGATGAACTCTACTTCACTTGCCCCAGGGACTTTTACAAAAAAGACTTAGAAAATCACTCAGACACTATAAATATTAGTCTAAACATTTTTGGGCACGTTTTTTTACCATCTCACAAGAGAAAATAAAAATCATTTGTATTTCATCTCAACAGTTATAGTTTCTATTTATACGCAACCTTATTTATAGAATTTACGAACAGATGTCGATTGTATTTCGTATTGTGATATTTTTTTTAATTAAGGTTAGTTTCAAAGCGCTGCTAAGGGGCGAGTATCAAGAATGTTTTGGCTTAGTAACCGATTGGAACTATGTTTTTTGCTGGCGTTTATGGTGTCAATGACATTAATAGTGCGGTGATTCAAAACATTAAATATTAGCCAGGATAAGCGATTAGAGTTAATTGTTATTTTCAATATAATCGGCAACAATATACGCTACCATTCTTCGCTAGAATAATTTTTCTCTTTTACAATTAAAGCTAAGAAAAATATTAAATATTTTTGAGTTTTATTAAATCTTAAGGACTATTTAAAAACGTTATTTATAATTGCATTTTTAAAAATTATGGTAAAGTTATTAAAGCTGTTTAATCCGAAGCTTATGATGCTAGTGGCTTTGAATCGTACTTGGGATGATCGACCCAGTGTAGGGCTGTTGCTATGGTCACGAGGTCCACCGACCCGTCTTTCAGAAATTTGAGATCCTCTGCAAACGACACGTGAGACTCCAGGTTTGGAACATTTTTCGGCATGTTGTTGATTTGGTCTTCACTCACGTCTGTCCCTATCACCTAAAAAACGTTTTACAAAATGGTAAAATATATATCAGCTCTACATGGCTATCATTAAATACAATGAAGAAAACAAGTTTATTTTTTTTTAATTTTTCATGTATTCGTAGAATGCAAAAACTTATCCTTTTTTTTAAAATAAAGGTTTTTATACTTGTTTTTTTAAATCACTGAATTTGGTAATCTTTTGATAAAATTTTATTTACTAATCTAAAGTTTATTTAGATTAAAAATCTAGATATTCTTGCGTTGAGATCGTAAAAAAGAAACGTATAAGGAGAGCGAACACAATTACTGAATTACAAGTGGGTCGAAATTGAGTTACAAGATGTATCACAAACAAACCAACCAACAAAGAAATATTATGAACTAAATAAAATCTCATAATTATTAATTGAAGATTGTAATACGAAAATAATGGGATTCTAGAAACCTTTTTGAAATATTTAGTCAGGGGCAGAGTACCCTGTCCAGTCCCACAACCAACATCAACAGCGAGTTGTCTCTCGTTGTTCGGGTTCTCCGAGTGGTAGGCCATGATCTTGTCGTAGATTTCTTGTGGGTATTGGGGCCTGTAGGCCGCGTACATCTTAGAGAAGTGTTCTCCCTTGTGGAATTCATGAGACACATTTTCGTACTCGGTCGACGCTTTCTGGTCAAAACAATACAATAAATGGGTAAAGAATGTTTGATGCAACTAAAGCATTTGTTTTTATTTTACAATCAGAGTATTCGAGCCATGGAGAGGCGTGTGTTCCGCCATGTGATACCTAGCCTTTGACACACCACACTTTGGTGTCTACAAAGACCCAATAAAGGTGAAGGGATTAGTCGTTATTATTCTGTCCCAAAATCCACTGATGTGCGCAATAAAATATCCTAATATATAAAAGACCATTTGCGCACTTCTCTCTCATACTGTCTCTCTCTCTCTCTCTGTCTGCAATATGTTTTAGTAACGTCATCAGTATGTTCAGCTATATACGGATGTCTTAAAGATACGGACTTCTGTTGAAAATAATATGGTGGACGTTATAAATGTATAAACTAAATTTTCTCTAAAGAAGGAAAATAAAAATAAAGGCATATTCGAATGTTGAAACACATTTCTAACTTAAATGTTTATTGTCGTGACATGAACGTAAAAAATGAAGACGTCACATTTCACAAGGTTAAACTGCGGAAAGAACACAAAACTGATGGCGTCATCTTCCAATTTTAGAATATAAAGAAATAAACTATTTCATACACATTTGATTTAGATCTACATATCAAGACGTACGCTATGAAATGTATACAATTTTCTCTGCCTAAACTTATAACATTTACTTTATCTATTTAGATACTTGATCTAGATCAAGAACTACGGAAAAACTAGACTTAACGTAGACTCTATCTCTATCTAGATCTAGATTCTATGCCAATATTCAGTTTCTGTACTAAATTATTTCAGGCATTAATTGTTTTATACAGAAATCTAAATCTTTTTTTGTTAATCTATGGAATTGGCTAATTTGGGATAAAATTTATTTGAAATAATAGGGCTTATTCACGTAAAGTTTCTTACACTGACTCACTCTAAATCGAGATTTACGTAACGCACACTATTTATTCCGCTTCTACCCTAAAGTGTCTTAATAGCTGAGATGATAGATGACAGTTACCATGCAGGTGGTACGGGTTCGAGACAATTTTTTTTTATGTGAATGATAAAGTTGCCTATCGGGACTGGGCGGCACACGGACACATGTTTCTGTCTTTTCAGCGTATGAAGGGATAGTGTGGTCAGACCCATGCTCTGCCGAAATAGGTGTTTTTAAAAGACATAAACAACATAACTGCCATTAAACAGCCGGGTTTTTAACAAAATATTTTAAGTCTCTTAATTTTAAGTCTCTTAATCAGGATGTGCATTTAATATGGTGTTGTGTTGACTAATAATGTATATAATTTGGATTTCATTTTTCTAATAGGTATTGGTAGTCTATGTTGTTCTAAATGAATCGGATTTTTTAAAGCTATTTAGTTATTTCTTTGCTAATATCGTTCAACGTGTAGTAGAGCACATAGCGTTTTGACTAATAACTTTTTTATAAAATATTTTTCTCAAACAAGTATAACATTAAAATATATAGGTATGCCTATATTTATTTCACGTGTAACAGTTACCGACGACAAATAGGATTATAATAGAAGAACAATATCAAGTGAACAGTGTATAAGTTCATTAAGTAGCCTACTTTAATTTAAACCTTCAGCTGCTAATAATTACCTTGACAGCTTTTGAGAAGTCCTCAATTTGATGAATGCTAACCATTTTAGTTTTTTTAGTTAGATATTTAAAAGTGATAAAACGAAATGTATCGTAAACACAATAATACCTATCACAACACAATCTAGACACACCACAGTGTCAACTGTAGTGGAAGCTGACTTTATATCAGCCCCTTTATCCCATGGTAAGTGTAATTTAATAGCTATTTAATGGCATTTAACATATTACCTTTTGAAATACTCATACGTTGTAATAATTGAAGTGATGCAATATGCTGTAGAACTGTTAGATGGTTAGTAATTACGCAGTATTGATAATTGACCATATAAATATATAAATATGTGGAAAATTACTAGTACTGACAAACTAGGTGGGGTTGGAAAATAATTCAGGCGTGACAAGACCTCATTAGTCCACTCATGGAGTTAAAGGTATACGGTTATTAGAAGATTCTACTTCAATGACAAGTGACAGAACTCGGTGAAGCTATTAAGTAAAACATGTTACACTGATATGTAATCGTAAAAAAAGTTCCATATGAAACCTGACCGTCTATTGGCCAAGTGAAATAGGGTTCACCTGTTTCTGTGGC